ATCATGGTTTCCCCAATTAAGGTGCCCCATTTTCCCCTTTTCTCCCTTACTAATACCCTCCTCCTACAGTCCTACCTCCTTTGAGCTCCTTCTTTCCCTTTATCCCCTAGGTCACCTGGATACCCTTCTCTCCCCCCTCCCATAAACTAACCCAATTTTTATCCATATCTCCCTTAGTAAGGCCTGTTTCCTACTGTTCTTCTCTTTCAGGTTCAATATTTTATAACTGTATTAATTCAACTGTGAACCTAGAAACAGCCACTTGTGAAAGAGGTGTACTCTTGCTCTGGAGTATGTTACTGAATATGTTAATGCTGTAATGAAATGCTTCTTCTAATCATGTAGTTATTAAAAATTTAAAAAAGACAGAAAGGATTAATAAGCTAATCTAGAGCTGCATTTCTTTTTTTAAAATATTTTATTTATAGCCGGGCGTGGTAGCACACGCCTGTAAGTCCCAGCACTTGGGAGGCAGAGGCAGGCAGATCTCTGTGAGTTCAAAGCCAGCCTGGTCTACATAGTGAGTTCTAGGACAGCTGGGGCTACAGGGAGACCCTGCTTCAAAAAGACAAAAAAATATATTTATTATTTTTATTTTATGTGTATGAGTGTATTGCCTGCATGTATGTGAGTGCACCTGTGTCATGCAATGCTGCAGAGGTCAGAAGAGGGCTTCGGATTCCCTTGGAACCAGAGTTAAGGATGGTTCATAGCCACCATGTGGATGCTTGGAATCAAACCCAGGTCCTCTGCAAGAGCAGTCAGTGTTCTTAACTGCTGAGCCATCTCTCCAGCCCCTAGAGCTGCATTTCTACAGCTGTTCTAGGGCCATGATTGACATTCGTTATCCTACCCTCCCATCTGTCATTCCAAAATTCATGGAAGCACGTCAATTGCTCTGGGGTTCTGAGCCTGAAGGGTCTCTGGGAGCTGCAATTGCACATGAGAAGCTGGGACTCCTAGGTGATTTAACTAAACCACAGGTTGGGTGGCTTGAACTACAGGGACTGATTTTCTCACCGTTCTAGAGGCTGGAAATTCCAGACCACGCTTCAGCAGAGTCAGTTCCTGATGAGGTTGACAGCTTGTAAGCACTTCATCCTCACAATGACCTTTTCTTGGGGGGGGGGGAGAAAAATAACTAGCTTTGTTTTTTTATCCTCTTCTTATAAAGACAGTAAGCCTATGGGTACACACGCATACACACACACACACACACACACACACACACACACACACACCATCATGGCCTCAGCTAACCTTAATTATTCCTAAGGACCCTGTCTCCCAGTACAGCCACATCAAGGGTTAGGGCTTCAAAGTATGCTTTTTGAGGGGATGCAATTCAGTCCATAGCACCAGACAGTGTCTTCCCTGCCCTCATTGTGTGGTAATAATTCTAGCTCCTCTCCTCCACCAGAATAGAATAGAAACTCCTTTCACTGCTGATCCATTGGTATGAGGATCCCAAGGTGCCACAGTCATAGTATCCAGTTAAGTGGGACCCTTACTGTGTTCACTAGGACTCCCTCCAGGAACCAGGACTGCTAACTCTTTGAAATTCAAGACTGTGGGAACAAGACACCCAGTTTATACAGGCCCTAAATATCCCTCTCCTGTCACCCCTTTTGCTGTTATTCCTGATCATCCTGAGGCCCACTGTATGGTCCTTCTTTTTCTTCTTTTTGTGCGTGCATGTGTGTGTGCATTCATGTGCATGCAGGCACATACTTGTGAGGGTGTACATACACACGTGTGCGCATACATATGGAGGCTGGAAGCCAATCCTCAGTGCTATCCCTTCCACCTTGTGTTATTTTTTAATATTTTATTTATTATTTTTATGTGTATGCATGTATTGCCTGCATGTAGGTAAGTAGAGGCTGTCGGATCCCCTGAAACTGGAGTTACGAACAGTTGTTAGCTGCCATGTGGGTGCTGGGATTCAAACCCGGGTCTTTTGCAAGAACAGCCAGCATTCTTAACTGCTGAGCCATCTCTCCAGCGCCCCCCCCCCCCACCTTGTGTTTTGAGGCAGGTCTCTCAGGGACCTGGGATTCACTGATTCAACTAGGCAGGCTGGCTTCAGGGATCCTCCTGTCTCTGCCTCCTCAGCACTAGGACTGTAAGTACACACCACCCTACCTGGCTTTTTACATGAGTGCTGAGGACTGAGTTCAGGTCCTTACCCTGTTATAGCAGACATGTTACGGACTGAGCTTTCTGCTCAAACCTAGTTGAACAAAGAAGCCCAACATCCCCTCTGGATTCTGAACAAGCTTAGACTTTCCATTAGAGTAGCTTATATTATCTTTCTGCTTTTACGCTTAAAAAGAAGTACAAATCAGAGGACGGGAAGGTGGTTCAGTCAGTAAAGTGCTTGCTTCACAAGCCTGAGGACCTGAGTTAGATCCTGTGGTAGTTTGAATGAGACTGTCCCCCATAGGCTCCAAGTATTTGGACATTTTGTCCCCAGTTGGTGGTGCTGTTTCAGGAGTCTTAGAAGGTGTGGTCTTGCTGGAAGAAGCATGTCAGTGGGGGTGGGCTTAGAGAGTTCCAAAGCCTTGCTGGATTTCCAGTCACTCTCTGCTTCCTGAGCTTCAAGATGTGAGTGCTTAACTTTCTGCTCCTGTTCTGGCCATCTCACCACGCTTCCCCATCTTGATGGACTCTAATCCCTCTGGAATCAGAAGCTCAAATAAACTCTTCTTTCTGTAAGTTTCTTTGGTCAGTGTTTTTTTTTTTGTTTTTTTTGTTTTTTTTAATCACAGCAACAGAAAAGAAACTAATACAGATCCAATTGCAAAGAGCCAGGTGTGGTTGTGTGGAGGTAAGCTAGAGACAGGCAGATCCCTGGAGATCTCTGGTCACCTTGCCCAGTCTACTTGACAAAGTTCCAGGCTACTGAGAAACTCTGTCTAAAACACAAGATGGAAGGCACCCAAGATAGTCCTCTGAATGTCACATGCATGCACACACACCTGCACGTGTACACCTGCATATGCACACATACATGAAAATACACACAAATGTTTGTACATCAAGCAACACTCTTGCCAGAGTTCCATGTCTCATCCCTAGCCCCACAATGATCTGTTGGCCAACTATATGGATTCCTATAGCACAAGGCATTCTCACAGACAGGCCAGCCTGATGCCTCTTTTGGCAATTATGCCCATATTGTTTCTAGTGACCTGGCCTTTGCCATCACTTCCACTGATACAAGGGAGTTAAGTTCTATCTTCCATCATTGAAGTCAGCCTTTAGAAGATGACCATCATTGAACTTCCCAAAGACACAGATGTCCCCTCACCAGAACTTTTCCTCATGTCTGAGGAAGTGAATGTTCCCTGGGCCATCTTGGGGGACATAGTAAGTGGCAGGTTCTTGGGTCTTACGATGCTAACATTTTCAATTCTCTCAGCCTCTCATTCTGTCCTTTTTATTGTATCCCCAAAGTTCTGGCATCTCACCATATTTACCCGTACTCTATGGCTGAGAGAACAAGGATCATCTTGCAGGGTATCAGCTTCAACAGGTTGTTGTAGAAGCCAGGGCAAGTAGAGCTTCTGTTCTAACAAGGGGAAAAGAATTGCTTCATCTGTCAGAGGACTTAGGGAGGGGGCTTCGCAGGTCAAAAAATTTCAGGTTTGTGAACCCAAATGTCTCTATGCTGGATCTAACCCATTCCCTATCAGAGCCTCGTCATGGACATAAGATACCTGTTTGACCAAGCATTTATTCTCCTTTTCAGTCTGCCACCCTACTAATCAGGTTCTGGCCTTGATTTTCAGTATAGTCTATCTTGTAGATGTCAAGAGTGTTCTTCAAGCCTTCACAAAGCATGGCTTAAGTTAGCAGGCAAGAGCTTTGCTAAGCCTATCATTTTATTTTTACAAGACTTTCAATGATGCCAGAAAAAGCCACCTGACCAATTCTACAACCCTTGCAATTACCGTTCCTGACACTCTGAGCAAGCTTAGCAGCTGCTTGATCCCATAAAACTTTGCTTTCTACCCACACCTCATTCAGTCAGCTGCAAATGAAGCTTTAGAAGTTGTGTTGCTGCCTTCCAGGAATGGCCCTTCTCACAGTCAGCAAATAGATGGGAAATCCAGGTGTGACATCCCACCCAGAGGGTCTGCTTGATAGTACTACGTGTAGTATCAATTGTCCTTGTGACATGAGCAGGAGGCGGTTACTATGATGGGCTGATCTTGGCTGCCAACATGACTAAGCTGAGATCCATAGAGAATTGGTAAAGCCACTTCTGGGTGGGCATACAAGAGTTTCTCCAGAGACAACTAATGTGTGGATCAGATTGCTGAGTGGAGAAAACCCACCCTAAAGTGAGAAGCACCATCCAATAGGCTGTGGGCCTGTATGAAGAAGCAGGAGAGGGGCTGCTCAAGCCAGTGCCCATGCTCCACTCCTCTCCAGCAGGTGTATTATGTCGCTGCTGCTACCACCTGCAGACATCAGGCCCGGGGTTCTTCACTCTTTGAATGTGAATTTGTATCTGTGACTCTCCAGGCGTCCAGGCTTCTGGCTACATCTCTAGTCCCTCCTCTTCTGTAGCTCCCAGCTTCTCAGATGTGTAAGTTTCCTAGGCTCTTGGTTATTAGCCACCATGTGGGTGTTGGGAATCAAACCAGGGTCCTCTGCAAGAGCAGGCACATTCTAATCTGCTCAGCCATCTCTCCAGCTCCCGTGTCCTGGTAGCCTTTCATCCAGCCTTCATCCCTCATTCTTTAAAAGAAAATTAAAAAATTTTTCTGTGTATGAGTGTTTTGCCTGCATGTATGTAAATGCACCACAGACACTGCATGCATTGGGAGGCTAGAGGAGGGTGCTGGATCCCATGGAACTGGAGTTACAGACAGTTGCTATCTGCCCTGTGGGTGCTGGGAACTGGATCTGGGCCCTCTACAAGAGTAGTCAGTACCCTTAACCACTGAGCATCTCTCCAACCCTCCTCCCTCTTGTCTTTTTAACTGCAGGTCCCTATCTCACCACTGTGGAACATCACAGGACTGGCAATGGCTGAGGCTAACATGGCTCCCCCAGGTTTTTGGAGGGAAGGATCAAGGTATCATTCACACCTGCTCTCCAGGATCTCTCTGACTGGAGGTGGGAGGTGTGTATCTGTTGGGCACACATGTGTATCTGCTTGGCAGCACAGAGAATTTGCAGCCCTGCTCCAGCAGGAAGGAAGCTGCTGGAAGACTGGTCCGAAACCGGTTCTGCAGAGCAGTTTATACCTGGCCTGTGGGTTTGCCTGGGGTGACTTGGGGAGGGGGTGTCCTTGGAGACTGAAAAGAGGACCAAGTAACTGTTTCTTCACGAGTGAACTGTGGTGGTTGACCCTCCATCCTGTGTCCTAAAGCAACCGATTCTCTCACCCAACTGAACAACAAAATTGCCCAGACCTTGGGGACCTTGATTGGTCACACCCCACCTCCCCCCAGCATCAGTTTAAGCACTTGTACTGGAGGAGCCTCGCCTAAGCCTGCAAAGCTGTTGGTGAGGTAGAAGCAACTTGTTTGAACAAAAAACAACCAGGTTCCTTCCAGTAGAACAGACTTGTTGATAATCCTGCCTCAAACAGGAGTTTTTGGATAATGGAGAAAAAGCGCATGCGGGGGGGGGGGGGGGGATTCCGTCCCCGGGGGTCACGACTCTAAGACACAGAACAGTGATGGAGGAGAGTTCTGGGGGCTGGGAATGCCAAGTGGGGGAGTCATCAAGGCACATGACCTCGGAGAGCTAGCCTGAACCCTCCCAGCCTGGCACCCACAGAGCCTGCGGGAAAGGGGGCGTCGGAGATAGAGCGCAGACCCGGGCGGCCCACTAGTCAGCCGTCACTATCACCCTTGGGCAGCCTGGGGTTGAACTTAAGGAAAGAGCAAGCCTGGAGCAGGATCCCCAGTCACTGGGAGTCCTCGGCCTCCAGGGTGAATAAATTATTAAGCACCCAATACACAATAGCTTCGCTAGATGGAGACGAGGAATCACTGCAGCGGCGCTGGCCGCCGCGGCTGGGAGCGCGGGCGGGAGCGCAGCCCGGGCGGGAGGCGGGTGAGGCTCTGGCTCCGCTCACGTCTGTTTTCCTTTTTCATGCATTATTTATTTCGCCTCCGCCCTCGGCCCCGCTGCCGGATCGGGGGCTCTGGGTTGGCGCCTCTCTCCAGCTGCCTCCCGCGGGCTCCCGGCACCCTGAGTCCGGGGCAGCCGCGCGGCGCCACCGGGAAGGGCGGGGACCCGGGCGGCGCAGGGACCGGCGGTGGGGCTTGGAGGAGGGCTCCGCGGCCCGTTCCGGGCGGATCGGAGGACACTTTCCCCGCCCTCCGCCGGGCCAGCCCAACCCCGGTCCTGGACTCGGGGGTTGCCGCCTCTCCCGCCCCGCGCTCGGCCAAGCGCAGCCGGGAGCCACCGCGCCCTGAGCCGGGTCCGAGAGCGCCGCGCCGGGGTCCCCAGCTCAGCAGCCCTGGAGGCCCAAGCGGCGCGCAAACTTTTGCTCCAGTGCCCGGAGCTCCTCCTCGGCACGTGAAGCCCCCGGGCGCCCGCGCAGCCGCCGGGGTGAGCAAGGAGGCCCCGCCTAGAGGGCGGAGGACTGGGGAGGCGGCTGGCTTTAAAAGGGGGCCGTCCGGCTGCCGGGAAACATAGCTGCTGTGGCTGGAGCTCTGACCTCTCTTCTCCGCGCTGACTACCGGTTGGAGCCGCCGCCTGCCGTGAGACATTCGAGGGGTGCGGGCGGGATTGGAGGCGTGCGGGGAAACCTACGCCCGGGAGCTGGAGATGGGGCTTGAGCAGCAAATGGGGGCGCGCATTGAGTGCCTATGTTGCAGTGTACGCAGTGAGGCCAGCCGGGCAGACAGTGCACGCAGCGAATGAGTTGGTGGTGCTGTGCATGCAGAGTCGAGGAGTGTACAGGTTGGGGTCGGCGGCTGTACGGGGGTCCGTGGGTGCGCGTCGAGCGAGTGGTTCCCTCCGGGTTTGAAGTGTACTCGCAGTCAGAGTTATGCATATCCGGTTCTGCGGCTGCATGAGGTTCAGTAACTGTTTGAATGTTTCTGAAGGCGCGTATGGGACTAAGGTGTGCATGAAGTGTGCTAGGGGGCGTGCGCCAGGATAGGGTATGAGTTTGGGGATGCACCAGAGAGCCAGCAAGTGTGCAAGGCAGAAGTGAAGATGCACATTTGGTTTACTAAGGTGCCTCCGAGTGCGGGTCGCGCCTATCCCCATGGGGTTGGTACGTGGGGTATTGCGCGGCCGCGATGGTGCTGGCGCGGTGTCTCTCTGACCCTAGCCTTGCTCCCCTGACAGTTCGCCCAACCAGCGGGTGCCGCGGGCCGAGATGCTACTCCGGGACCTGGTCCTGCGCCCTGGCTGCTGCTGGCCGTCGCTACTCCTACATTGCGCTCTTCACCCGCTCTGGGGCTTGGTGCAGGTGAGAGGAGAATCCGGCTACCTTGGCTGGAGGCCTCCTGGGGAAGCCAGAGTTGTCACTTCAGAGCTTCCACATTCTCTCTCTCTCTCTCTCTCTCTCTCTCTCTCTCTCTCTCTCAACGACGTGGGCGGGGGGCCTCCTGGGGAGGCCAGAGTTCTCTCTTCAGAGATCCCACACTCTCTCTCTCTCTCTCTCTCTCTCTCTCTCTCTCTCTCTCTCTCTCTCTCTCTCATTCACTCACACTTACTGACTGATCCTGGGGAAAGTTGGGGAACAGAAAAACTGGTCCAGCATGCCCTAACCCCCCAAAGATAAGAAACTTAAGAGGGAGCCTTGGTTCTGGTGTGTCTGCAGGACTAGGCCTTGCACGGACAGGTGCTGAGGGGCACGTCCTCCTAACTACCCATATTGGAGCATTTGGGCAAAGAAACAAAAAGTGATCCCACAGCCATGCCTCTGTTTCCCGTTGGATCCCACTTTTAAACTACAAATTAGCCTTCCTAAACTGTCTTAAACCTGGGAGGGACTGTGTTTCTTAAATATTTGCTGGGGAAGTGGCTGGTTTATGCCATGGAAGCCATTCATACGGAACATCTGTCAGGATTGCCTGAGGATGAATCCCTCACCCTGGGGCCCCTCAAACTCCTGGGCAGAGGCCAGGCATCTACCAACTGAGTTATCCCCCCAAGGTAGAAAGTGAGTTGGATGGTATAGTCCCTAGTTCTGCCCAGCATGTCCATACCCAACTCTGCCCTCCACCAGCCGGGTCACTGGGAAAAATACTTGAACTCTCTGATCCTTCATTTTCTCTTCCTGACTGTGCTATAGGGTCCATACTTGTTTGCCTAGCATATTGCCTAGACCACAGTAAGCATGGTTGGTATCTGTTCCTGCTGTTGCTGGGATGTGAGGTGTGACCTGCTTGCCATCAGCTTGTGAGGACTGCAGTTCTGATCTGTTAAGCGTTTTACTGTTTGCTGTGTTCAGGAGCTACAAACAAAGCAGTTGCAGCTTTGTGTTCTTCTGGTGACACTTAGAGGTTGTTGCCCTGCGTTGGGACAGCAGTCCAAAGACAGGATGGGTGAGACTGCTTGCCTGTCTGCTGTGGCCTCTGAAGACAGGAGTCTGTTGGGACACACACACGGTTTCCCCAGTTGAGCCTGGATGGCCTCCTAGGTACCCTCCCACCTCCACCACCAACCCCTAAAGGCACCCTACCCTCAGCACAGGCCCCAGCCTCTCCTCTCTCTGCTCCAGCCTGCCAGGAATTTGACAGCTTTGTTTAAACTTGGCTGTGTGTGCTTAGGATTCAGGGTTGTGACTTCTAAACACTTGGGTGACTGGGGATAGCTTCCCTTGTTCAACCTTCAGCTGAGCCTCCAATGCAGAGTTCACTTGCTTAGTTCTCTCTCTTCCCAAAGATCTTTCAGCTAGGATGGAAAGGGAGCTGGCAACATTAGATTCTGAATTCTGCCCTCTAGATTAGCAGGATCTAAGAAGGAGAGCCGCTACCTCCCCGGCCCCCACAACTAATTTTGTAAAAACTGCTCTGTGCCCAGTGTCCTTTAGCCAGGCAGTGTTTACACAAGCAATTTTGGGTGTGTGTTTCAGATTCTCAAACTCAATACAAATCAATTTTCATGAAAATCAATTAGAAAAGAATCCTCCAGATAAACAGAATGGGTAAGATCTTGGCCTGAGGCTCTGGAAAAATTAATCTACAAATGGTAGAGATAGAGGAACCAGAGGGAAGGGGCTTGGGAATGAATGGGTCTGTTTTTTTAAGCAGAAGAGCTGGATTCAGGGAAGGAGGAGGAAGATGGCGGCGCATGAGGCCATGTGTTTCTCTCTAAATGGAAAGAATAAATCTGTCAGGCCTTAGGAGTTTCTTGAATGTAGAGGAAGAGCTCAGAGCTGTCTGTGCTTCCATGAGCTTTTCGCCTAAGAATCCTCCAGAGAGGTAAACATTTGGGGGGATGGGCCTGATGCAACCATCTTATGATTAATGGGCCCATTGATGAAGAAGCAAGAAACCGAGGGTCCCTCAACTCTAGGTTCCCCCCTTGAAGTCAGCAGAAGTCTATAGCTGTGACTGGATGATAAGACACCAAGTTGCTTAAGTCCAATGACATTTCAATTGCCTGAGCTTTGATGGGGCATTCCTTAGCTTTTCCCGTTTTTCTTTAATGTGTCTGGAATTGAGATTTTGTGTTTTTGTGATTTAAGGTTCTTCTAAGTTCACTTCAGTTGATTCTTTTTTCTTTTTTCTTGCAAAGGAAGAGGATGACAGGCTAGCAGATTGATTAGGTGTGACAGGAGTGTGTCTCATCAAGTTACTGTGGTGCTGGCCTTTCTCCAGAAAAGATGCCAGAAGCCATCATCCTTGCTGTTGCCCATTTAAAGTAAGTGCCAGGGAGACAGGCTTGGACCTGGCCTTATGGGTCTGTGCCCTGGCACAAAGCTATTCCAGAGCCAGTGGAGTTCTTTCTACACTCAGCTCCCGAGGCTTGGCTTTCCCAGCAGTAGCATTTATTGGGCGCCTCCTGGATGGCAGACTGTGTGTCAAGTGAAAGTGGTTTAGTGGTCTCTGTCCTCATGGTGCTGGTGAGGTCGTTGAACAAGTGATCACAGATAAGAGAGCTTGGGAGAGCAAATAGTTTGGCCTCGGAGCAAGAGTCCAA